AGAAATGTACGCATTATCCTGCCCATGTAATTGTAACCCCTCTGTACAGTATGTTCACAAATAAAATAAAATAAAATTTTTAAAAAATAAAAAAATAAATGAATTAATACAAAAAAAAGATATGGAGGAGACCCATTGCTTATCTGTGCTCCTTGGTCAGCTTTATAATGTACAAGGTACAATGTACAATGTGCATCCCACCTGATGTTTTAGTTTCAGTTAATGGATGTTCAATTTTCCTTAGAAGAATTTGGGATGTGAATGAGCCTGGGCCTTCTGAATGCATCAAGGCTATAGGATTCCAGCTTATTAGAAACTAGAACCTCTCACCCTGAAGTTAAGACTTCATGAAGACTGAAGAGCAGGAACCCTATCGAAGCAAAGGCGTTTCTAGGTAATGTGAAATTTGAGATGCTCATGAATTCCCAGAGCCCAGCATGAAGCTGAGTGGCCACCAATGTGTGCAGTGGCATTGGAGCAGGTGTCCCATCTCCACGGGGCCTCAAGCATGCCCAGAGCACACTCTCCCACTTTGAGAAGCCCAGTTCACACACACACACACAAACTCACACACACTCACACTCACACACACACTCACACACACACACACACACTCAGCAGAGACCTCAGAGCTGCTGTTGCAGGAGATTGGACAGGGCTCTGGCTCTCTGCCTATACTGCCCAAAAACTAGGGAACACTTGGACTCCAGGGATCAGCCCCACACCTGTTGATTCTCAATATGAGATATAGGATTATGTATATTTGACAAGTTTCTAGGGTGACACTATATGTGAGGGCTCCCCATTCACAAGGACTGTATATTCTCTATATCTATGTAGGCTAGGATTGGAGGGGCCCTTTTAGACATATGAAAAACATAATCAGCCATATAATGTGTCATTTCCTCCTTGTTACCCTCTCTGCTTGGTCATGGGTCACTCAGCAAACCCATCGAAGAGGATGAACTGAAGGTGCAGTCAGAAGCGGTTGAAATCCCAAATCAGGACTATGCCTGCTTACTATTTACTTTCCCAGAAGGGGAAAATCCCCTATTAGGCCCCTTACTTCTTCTTGAAGTCTTCCATCAGGTCCTGCATGTTCTTCGCTTCTCCCTCCAGGTTTTCCCTCTCCCCTAGAAGTGAATCCAACCACTTGTGCAGAAAGCTGATGTAGGACTCAAAGAAAGGCTCCAAATTCTTGGGCCCTGAGCCAGATCGGGTGGCCTGCTGCTGGAGCAGTTCCCACTTCGTCTCCAGAACCTTGTTTTGCTGTTCCAGGAAGCGCACCTGCATCAAGAGAAGAAGGATAGGAGACCCTTGAGGATCAACTATTCCAAAAGGTGGGAAGGCTGGGCGTTAGTGGCTCATATCTGTAATTCTAGCTACTCAGGAGGCTGAGATCTGGGGATTATGGCTTAAAACTAACCCAAGCAGAAAAGCCCATGAGACTCTTTTTTTTTTGGGGGGGGGGG